TGTATTGATTTTAAAATCTGACTTCTTTGATTTTTTCTAAAAAAATCAAAAAAATCACGAACCCTGCTAATTTAGCAGCATCAATTGCTGCTTATTTTTGAAAATTAAATTTTTTTTTTAATAATATTACAGTGTTGAGCATAATCTTGTATCTATTTACAATTTAACAACTCCCTGAAAAATTATTTTGCAATAACCGGACCCTATTTGCACAAATTCACAAAATCTGAACCCTGGTTGAAAGAATGTGAATTAACGTTTATTTTATATTCACAAATTACGAGTAATTTTTTTTACAAAAACAGGACCTTACACAAAATGTCTGGACAGACCCCTGTTATGTAAAAATCATTTCCTTCAAAACTTAAATTCGTTTATTTGAAAAAAGAAATGAAACAGTGGAATGTTGTGAAATATTTTTTAACTTGTTATTTTTGTTTTATACCAAAATTACACGTAAAAAAAATATTTTTTACGTGAGACAAAAAAATTAGGAATTAAAGGTTTAAGTAATTGAAAAATAAGTAATAATTCTTTTCTATAAAACTGTTACTAGTTATTGCAGTTTTTATTTTTATTTATGTTTGTTTAAAAAATTTTATTTAATCCAATGTTAATATCAATCCAAGTATTTTTTGCGTTATATCCTTTTCTTCAACATTCCTTTTTAAATTTTTCCCAAGCAGTGTTATTTTCTGTTGGTAAATTTCCCAAATATCCGAAAATCATTCAGAAATAAGTAAAATTTTATCGATTTGTCATCACTGTTTAAAACTATGTAAAACGCATATGGTTTTCGAAACTTGTAATTTTTTTCTTTCTTCTTTAGCAATTCTTTCTCGTTCTATTAGAGTCACTTAGCACTATAATATATTTTTTCTTTTGTATAAAAGATAATGGATATTTCGAATATCCATTATCATTATTATATAACCTTGAAAATATTTTTCAATTTGTGTTGAACTAAATATTGATAATAGAATCTTGTATTACTCTTAGTGACCAAGCATGTTTTCCGTCATTCGTATTTTTCTAAATGATATTTGAATATTTTTAAACATTTAATTGCATTGCAAATGTTTTAAAACCAGTTGAAATATCATCTAGAAAGGGTGTTTAAGTATGTTTTTGAATTAAAAATACAGACAAATTGTTATTGGGATTGTGAAATGTTAAATACGATCGAAAATAATATAAATTTGCACTAATACGCTGCTTCTTGATATTATGATGCCTGTAATTATTCGATTTATCTGCCATAAGATTAGTTCTTGCTTTTTTATGCGGTCGGGATAGCCATGTTGGCAGGGCGCTTGACCCACGTTTGTGAGAACGTGAGTTTGAATCCAGCCGAAGACTCCCCGTGAAGTAAATGGTTACTGGTGCACTTTAAATCTGTGGGATCACAAAGCCCTCTATTTTCCCATAACAAATCAAAACCTCTGGGGGTACTGATTTGGAGATTGATCGTTCTCTGGTTCAGGTCAAAATTACGATCTTTAGATGAATGAATGGATGTATGGATGGATCCACCCAATAAACTGGTGTGACGTATGGGTGCGGCAGAAATCGAATTCTTGGCCATAGACGGCGCCTCTGAAAAACAAGAACAATCGCACCCCCTCTGCCTTAATGGCCGATGACAACAACATATCATTGATATGAACCAAGCTTATTAATATGTTTTTTAAACAATAATTAATGTGCTAAAGTCGGGAATGGAAATGAAATTTCCTTAAATTTTAAAATTAACGAATAGAATAATGTAGAAATGTTTTTTTTTTTTTTTTTTTTTTTTTAAATTTTATTTTTACTTCTTTTTCTTCTTTTTTTTATTCGTGGATAAGAGAGAGAGTAAAAATTGTTGATTTTAGCGAATGATGACCTTCTGTTCTATTTCGGATTTTAGGTCAATATCATTTATTGTTGTTAACATAATATTGATAATAGTAGATAGCGAGAGATTGACAAAAATCTTTTAAAAAGAAAACATTTTTTTTTTTTTCGCTTAGGAAATTAATTTCAACTGTTCAAAAGTTTATCAGAATCCCCCCCCCCCTGAATATTGTAATTTTGTCTTCAATATTTTTTACTCAGGTGGATCAATATCTTGTCGAGTTATAGTTCCATTTAAGTGAAAAAGTGTTTGATAAAAGTTTTCTCTTTTTAATCATAACGAAGAGTTTTAAAAAACTCTATAATATATTTATTTAAGTAACTGACTTCTTAGTGGTATTAAAATAGAGCTCTTAATATTTTTTCTACTCTGAACCCACGTAATTTATAGATGCTATTAATCATCGATCTGTCGCAACCACTAAATACTCTAAATGGAAAAAAAAAAAAAACCTTTATTATGATTAATATCGACATTATCTTTCGTATGATTTAAAAAAAATATTGTATATAGTTAATAATAATATATTCATAATTTTGTTGGTAAAAATCATTAAAAGAATTCATTTTTCTGTCACAGTTGTCCTCGACGCTAACAGAGAAAGAAAAGAAAAAGGTTTGTGAAACTGAAAATTTTCGAAGCACATTATTAAAAAAATTTAAAAAATTTGTCTTGACATTTTATACATCTCAAGTAAATGTGCATTCGGCTAAACAGTGATAGTGAAAGTAATATTTCCTCCGATTATGTTTTTAATGATGTTGATTTTTTTCTCTCTCCCTTAGGTTTGAGCCTGGAGACTTGTCTTATGGTTGGCTGGGCGAGTTCTTCTCAGACAATTTTCTATGTATGTATTTTTATTTCCTTCCTTTTTATTTCTTATGTATGTATGTATTTTAATTTCTGCACTGCAGCTCTGCCTGAAATAGATTAGGTGTCCCTGCCCGCTGTCACCATGGCACCCACTAATCTTTTCACCTGTGCCCGTAGCTGAGCGACTAAAGGTCTGGTTTCTTAGGACAAGCGCCTTATCTGGGCGTCAGCGGGACGTCAACGTCACGCTGACGCCAACAAAATACTGGTTTGTTAGCTCAAGGCCTGGTTTCTTAGAACTAACGCCTTATCTGGGCGTCAGCGGAAAGTTGACGTAGATCTGACGCAAAAAAAATACTTTTTTGTTAGCTCAGCATGAGCAGTCGGTCCAACGCAGACACTATCTCTCATTGCGCATGCGTTAATAACGTAAACAAATATTTATTTTGAATTTGTATTGATTTTGTTATTGTCGACCAGTGTTTTAGAGAACAAATAATCACTTTGTCCAAGAAAAAACACATTATAGCTGAGCTAAATGAAGAGTGCTATGTTTAATGAAGAAGCTATGTTTAATGTCAAAATCAAAATCTTGGCTGATTTCAATGTGCTGTTGGATGTTGTCCGCCATTGCTTCTGTGGTTAACGTCACGTTGTAATCCAACTGCAGTTGAGTTGGACGGTAATTGTAGTTCAAGATGAGCGTACGATGACGTATACTATCAAACTCACAAATGGACCAATCAGAGGTTAGCGCTGATTTCCAGCTGACGGCGTCCTGTCCTAAGAAACCAGGCCTTTAGATAAAATATTTCAGTTTTTATTTATGATTCCCAACTAAAAATTCTCCGAGAAAAAAAGAGTAGCTACTGTCCGATCGGTAATCTAGAACAGCGGTACCCAAAAGGTGTTTGGATTCCGCAGAACAGGAAATAGAAGAGCCCATAAGCAGAATATTTTCAAATGTTCTGCAACAGGACTTATTAATTTATACATAAATTCACAGCGAAAAAAAGTCAACTTTCGTTAAAATACTATATTTTCATTTATTAAAATACAGGATCATACACAGATACACAACATTATTTTTTAAATCAAGGCAAACATTCTTGATTTGTTACTTTTTCAATCACTTTTGAAGTACAAAATTTTTTTAATGACGATGATGAATTATTAATAAAATGACTATGATATGAAGGTCCGAACATTAAAATAAGAGCTGCCTTAAATGTCTTTCGAAGGGACAAGTACCCAGATGGTGCACCATTTGCAAACACAAACATTCGCTGGTCTGTTGTTCCAACAACTTCTTAATCTCCATCGAAAGCATTTGGTCTTTTAAAAACAATTCTGTCAATCGTGAATCCCCACGATTCACAAATTGCTTCACAAAATCTTAGAATTTTAATTCTTTTACGGCTTGCTTTCGCAGGAAAACGCTGTCACTTATTCAAGATACAAATTGTTCTGCAGGACTTCATTTGTTCTGCGACGTGCGTCACAGTTTTAGGCACTTTCTGCTTCTGGGTAGAAGAGTAACAGGGGCTTCTAAGTTTAAAATATTTTTTAATCATTAATAATTATTAAATAAATGATCCCAAGAAACTGAAGCGGTAAAATATTACCTGATTAAAAACTTCATTCGCTTCAAAAATGTACAAATAAGAAATAGCAGTCGATATGTTTCAAGCGCTCGAAAACAGGCTCCTATTTTCAAGACTTGCCAGACGCGAACGAGAAGAAGCAAAAGTAATTAGAAATATATAACAAAAAGTTGCCAACGAAAAGTAGAAAAATATAGGTAGGAAACATAACTAGAAAAGCAATAGTAACCGAGAAAGAAAAATATGAAAATTGAACAAGAAAAACCACACTGGCCGAGAGGGGCAAATCAGGGTAAAATGGAGAGGTGGTGAAGAACAAATTCATATATGAATTCTGAGGTGGAATTAATTTATATCCATTCAATAATTAAAAAAAAACAGTTTATTTATATTCAATCAATAATCCATAGTTTATTTAATATTTCGTTTACGTGAACAAATGCATGTAAAATGCCAACAAAAAAGTAGCGATTTTAAAAAGGAAATTTTTTTTGTTCAATAAATAATATATTAAATAAATTATGAAAAATAAATTAATTTATAAAAAAAATTAATCAGTATTTCATATCGAGCGCTCGAATTTCAGTATTTCATATCGATTCAAATTAAATTAACTAAATTCTAAAATAAAGAATTACGTTTTTTTTTTTTTTTTTTTTTTTTTTTTTTTTTTTTTTTTTTTTTTGTAACCATTTTCTACGTTTCTAACAGTTCTTTTTTGAAAAGCATAATTCAGCTCATTTTATTTATTTTCAGCATATGCATACACCAAGAACAAATTCATCTCATTAAATTCTTCAAATTAAATATTTTAAAATAATTAGTAGATTTTTTTTCTATTGTTAGTATATTTGCAGTTGCTTATGAACTTTTAATTTTATGGCTGACAACTTTCTTAGCTTTTTGGGAAAATTTGTTCTAGGGAGTTAAGTTTGTTTTAATGTATTGTAATTCTTTGTAATTATTTTAAACACCACTGCAAGTAAAAGATTCAGAAGTTCATATGAAATATCATTTTTTCATCTCTCTCGGTGAGGATTTTAAAATGTTGGCAGAAAAGCGTTAGTTTTTAATTGTTTACCTTTCTATAAAATATTTTGCAAAAAGCGTGGTAGTTGGCAGTCCTGTATACCTGAAACAAATTGAGAACCATTGATCTAGAATGTGTTCTTGGCGACATTGAAGTTGGGTACCCTAAGATTTTAAAAGAGTTTGCAAAAATTCTTATATTTCTCATATTTATAAATAAGTGCTTTTGAACTTCTTTTTGTAAAAAAATGAAGAGCTTGCAGTGAAAATTTTTTACATTTGCGCGCGCGAATAATTGTCTCGTTTTAAAGGTTTCATCTCATGGGGACGATCAGTCGTTTGGGGATTGGGAAAATAATAAATAATATGAAAATAATAAATCATATTAATTTAATTTTTAAAACTTAAATAATATGAGTGTTTTACAAGTTAGTATCTTTTCGAAACATATAGAATTCAAAATCGTCAAATGAACTGTCATTAATAGGAAGTTGGTCTGATTTTGTGGAATTCTAGAATATTTCGGCATTTTTTTGACAAAATTATACATTGGCAATTTCACACTTAACATTTTAAGATGGTAAGGCATTTTAGTTCTGCTCATACCCACCTCAAAGTTTTTCGAATAAAGGAAATTTTGTATTTTTAGTGAGCAGGTTTTGTGTTTTTAGTCATTCTTTACTTTTTGTTGAAGGTCCTGTCTATGAATTAGTAAAAGGTCTACTCTTAATTTTCTGACTCTTTAGTTGCCGTAGAATTGAGTTCTCACCACCACAGTTCTGTTCTTCTGAATATGCAGGAAAAAGGATGTTTTCCCTTTAAGAAAAAGAAAAAAAATTTTTTTTTTTTGAAATGTAGTTTTAAAATTAATGATTTAAAGATGTCATTGAATCGCCTTTCTCTAGAAGTTTGTCCGTTTTTACCATACAATAATCTATGAAAAACTAGTTAACAGACCTAAATTTTCTAGTTCACCTTTGAGTTGCTCCATGGTCGAGTCAAAGGGGAATTTAGTAATTATATGAATTTCATGACTCATTCGTCCTTGAATAAAAAATTTAGTGTAATCAAATATTTATGCAAATCTAATTAAATATTTCTTTTAAGAATAATTATAATAATTATTTTAATATTTATAAAATAAATTAATTTGTAGTTAGAGAAACGAACTTCTATTATTATTTATATTTTTAAATTTTAAATAAACAATTATGTAACACACTTAACATCATTATATGTTATGTATCATTTAAAAGTATTATAAAATAGGTTAAACTAAAAATACGTTTAAAATATTAACAAGAATTATGAGGTTATTCATTTTAATACAATTTCAAAATAAATAAATAGAAGTTTCTAGTTGTAAAGGTATTATTTGTATACTATTACACAATAAATGTAATTATTGGAATTTAAAAATTTGTTTTGCTCTTCATATCATTTTGTTAAATAATATGAAGTGCGAAGAGTTTCTTTTTATGAAACTTTAAATTGATCCTTATAGATAAATTAATAGTTTAAGAAAAGATTTAATTTCATTAGAATAGAATTTTAGTTTTATTAAATTTAACCTCCAAGTCCCGAATTGAATGGAACATTAAATTCATATAATTATGAAATTTTGCTTTACTTTCCGTGCTTTTTTTTTTTTTTTTTTTTTTTTTTTTTTTTTTTTTTTTTTTTTTTTNTTTTTTTTTTTTTTTTTTTGTACTGTTGTCGTTTTTGATGATTTTTTTCTTCTTTTTTTCGATTCGATCGATTCAATTCGAGACGTTGAGACAGAATTTAATGTAATAAAATATTTATTCTTATTCGAATAAAATTTTATATTTTTCTAAAAGAATTAATCAGTGAAACTGATAACAATTTTAGAACTGCTGAGGAATCCTTGCCAATTTGTTAAATTATTGGATGAATGAAGTGGGGAAGGTTCCTTTCTTTAAACTTCAAATTAATTTACTACATTAACTAATTTTTTAAAGAAATATCTAATTGCGTTAGAATAATAATTTAATTACATTATTTTCGGGTTCAACGGCCCAAAAAAAGATCATTACAATTACATAATAATTGTATGGTGCTTTTGTTCTGGTACTCTTTTATCCGGTGCTCATTTTTCGCTAACCACTTTTACCGTAGAATTGAGAAACAATAATACATTAAAAGTACGCTATTTATTACAATTTTTGTTTAATTTTGAAGCATTGCTTAGTGAACATGTTTTATAGAATAATTTTGCATTCGGGCTTCAAGAAGAATTTATAATTAGTCATCGTATACAATACTATTTTTTAATTGTATACAAAGTCCTATTATAATGAAATCAACATACAATTTCTATATTTTTTCTCTCTAGAATTAAAAACGATATGTTAATTTGAAGTGTTAAAATTGTTTTAAA